AAAATCGTCGATTTGATATTGCGACGGAATTAAAATTGTCCAATATTGTGAAAAAAAACGTATTATTGTTTAGAACGTGTATCATCAAAAAAATTGTATCCTTCTTAATTAGGATTAGGATACGTTGATTGATTAATTGATCGAGATATTGTTTATGTTCGAAACGTCAGTGTCACGATTCGAGATAATCCGTAATGGATAGATGATGGATAATAGGATTTAGGTAACGATCTGTACAATCAATTAACAGACACCTTTCTCCTTGTGTGAATTATCAATAATGACTCGTGATAATTCGCACAATCGAGAATGGAACGATCATCATTAACCGAAGAACGTGTTTCCTCGTGTTCGATTCGATTAATAATAAATCGAATAAAAAGATTATGTATTTTTTACGTTGCGAAAAATAAAATTTTTTACGACGATCTTTTCGTTTGTAAGAGAAGTAAAACTTTCTTGAACACTTGGTATTTATTCGATTTAATTCGATCGTGACTTTACCGGATGCTTCGAGCGTCCTTTTAATGATCCTTAACGACGCTGCCTACTATAATACTCGAGTAAAGAGTTGTAGTAGTTCGTACTGCGTTAACACTTGTTTGTTGTCTATGAATTCTTCTTTCTTTCCCTTTGTGATACACCGACAAATTAGAAGAGTTTATACAGGAGATGTATCTCAGAGGTGGGCAAAATTTTAATAATTGAAGGTAAAAATAAAGTTACTTCAACGAGTTACTTGAATAATTTATTATTCGAGGTATCGAATAACCGCGAATAACTCTACTGCCAAACGGTTAGGTTATACGAAGAATGGATCAACTGTAGGCTACAAATAATGTTATTCAAGCATTTTAAACGCAAAATTACTTGATTAATTAGTCTTTAGTAACTTTATTCTTAACCAGTTACTTTTTCAACAAGGATTAGTGCTTCTATTTTAACGTTATAGGAACGAAGGTTAGTTTTTTCTTTTTTGATTTGTGTTATTTTTATTTAACGTTCACGTTTCTTCAAAATCATCTTATTCTTTTTAGGATTTATCAATTCGCCACTTCTAACGTGGCGATTGTTTTCACAGTGTCAAAATAAACGAATGAACAATCGCAAATCGTGTACTTAACCTAAGCTAACCTAACATAACCTCGAACGATCGTATAACAAAGCATCGATAGGATGAAAGAAGGCGCAAGGTTACAAGTTTAAAGACTTTTCGTCGTAACATTCACGAATCGTGCGGAACGGATTAAAAGCAGTGTTGTTTCGTTGATTTTTCAGGGGCTCTTTGGTGATGTACGACAGCGCTAGCTGTTCGTACGCAGGTGCGCTCGAATTAAAAGGAGCCTCCGGAGCCGGAGCCGCGGCCGCGGCAGCAGGAGTAACCGCGGCCGGCGTCAAACAGGAGAATTGGCCGTATCGCGGCCTCACCTGCGGTAGCACCTTCCAGAGGCTCAAAGAGAGCGTCGACAAGGCGAAACAAGCGCTCGCCGACCGCGGTGGATACCTCTCTGGTGCTTTCTCGCCGCCGCCACGTGCCAATCCATCCGCCATTTCGCCGACCGCCTCCATCACCGGTCAGTGATAATAAAGATTAAAATTTTGTGCTTCTTGCTTTGCAATTAGTATACCGATGCTTGTGCTTGAAAGGGAAGAATGTGAAAGAATATATGGAAAAACTATACAGGTGGAATATGATATATTTTTTAACTTGTAAACGGTAATTGAAATAGGTTATTTTGTAATGCAGTATAGTTGAATGTTTTGAGGAATATCTTCATTTGGAATTTTAAAATAAAAACTTGATAAATTTTGTGTAAATTAAAGAATGGAAAGTATCAGTATTTATGCATGTCATATTCTTTCTACATAGATCTTATGTTTTTTATAAATCCAGGTTTCCCTTTTAAGAAATGAATCTTTATGAAACTTTACAATAAAATCTAATAAATTTTGTGTAAATTAAAGAATGAAAAGTATTTATGCATATCATATTCTTTTTACATAGATCTTATGTTCTTTATAAATCCAGGTTTCTTTTTTAGGAAATGAATTTTCATGAAACTTTACAATAAAAATCAGTAAATTTTGTGTAAATTAAAGAATGCAAAGTATTCACATCTTCATATCATATTCCTTCTATATAGTTCTTATGTTATTTATAAATCCAGGTTTCTTTTTTTTTAAGAAATGAATCTTTATGAAATTCTACAATAAAAATTAGTAAATATTTGTGTAAATTAAAGTTTGGAAAGTATCACTTGTGCTTATCACATTCTTTCTATATAGTTCTTATATTTTTTATAAATCCAAGTTTCTTTTTAGTCGCCACAATTGACAATAAGTATTACAAAACAAATTGCAATAGATTTATCTTCGATTCTTTGTCTATACAAGATCTAAGAATTGATAATTATCATTCTAATCAGATTTCTTTTTTCAAAATAGAAATATATAATCTCATGTTATCACGCGATTAGCTGTTTTGCACCAATATACTCGTTAAAGTTACGACGAGGATAAAAAAAGATTTGAAAGTAAAATGTAAGGAAAATCGTTGGAAGCTTAACTTTTTTCTTTGTTCTTTGTTGCCACAATCCTTCACGTAATCGAGTTGCGTGTACTTTTCCACGGTTACTTGCGTGACCTACGATTAACATAGGAAACATCCTATAAGTTATAATACAGTTTACCTGCACGATGTGAGCGAAGTTGGTCAATAGGGTCACAAGATTTACAAGATAAAAAATATTCTGTTATATCTATCCAGAATCTTGGACACTTTCATTTGTCTGAAACGTTTGACTTATTCACACGTAATAATACAAATTCAGGCAACAATGAATTGAATGAACAAGATCAGATAAACTTTATATCCATAAGTATGACTAACACTGAAAAAAAAAAAAGTACGATACAAAACGAGTGCACGTGATTGCTGGGAACCAGTCACGGATAATTAAATCGACTTACGGGTTTGGATTTTCTCATGAATTTCTCATGATTCCAAAATCACAGGATCTAATCGAACTCGTCAATCTTGACGTTTCTCGCTGATCGAGTAGATTTAATTTCTTTTCCTTGCGAATAATTAACACGTACCACCTAACGCGAAAATCCACGTTATCCCTACATTTCAATAATTTCAACATAAAATCATTGCAACAACAAGCTCTGAATCGAATCTGAAACTGAAACTTCATCCATTTACCTTTACTTATCAAAACTTAAGCGTAATTCTCAAAAACGCATTTTTCTCTAATATTCCCCTTCTTTTTCTCCACGAATCACGGTCGAACACTTTGATGCGCTATGCGTGTCGTGCAAAACGGTAATAAAAAAAGGAGGAGGAGGGGGGGGGAAGAGAAGGGGGTTACTAATAAATAAACAAAAAGAGGAAAATCTCCGGGTTGATATAATTTGTCAGCGGAGTGGCGGCCACGATACCGGCGGCCTCACTACTGTTGCTCTTCGTTGTCGCCGATTTCCGATTGTTTTTTTAAAGCGCCGGTCGCCGAGGACATTAATTACCCGGCCAGTGTAAATCACGTTATCTACCGCCCACGCCTCCGTCCGCCAGAAGGGATGAAAACTGAGGGCGGGGGAGAGAGAGAGAGAGAGAGAAAGAGAGAGTGAGGA